AGGTGCCAGGGAAATAGTTCATTTCTTCTCCTCTGAACAGCACTGCATCGTTGCCGAACTGTCGAGACAGAGCAATCCAGGACAGCCGATCCTTTAAAAAAGACAGAGGGAGATTAGCGACGAAAATCTGCAAACTCCAGCTCAGCAAGTTGCATCCATCACGCCTGGGGTGACAGTTGCCGTGGAGAGGAACCCGACTGCACAAACAGCAACACAACCTCCGAAATATATCCTGGCATTAACCCAATGGGGAGGGAGCAGGGCCGGGCTAGCCAATCGGCAACGGCGGATGGGAGAAAAGAAAGCTTGATGGGCGCAGGCCAGGGGGCTCCGGTTACGATCTCCCGCGGTTGCTACGGAGACGGTTGGCAGGCTCCGGCCTCCTGACCCAACAGGCCAATTTGGGGTTGGGTGGGGGCTGCAAGTTCCCACCTCCTTCCTTGGTTCCTGTATAAGATACAGCCTCTGTCATTGCCTTAAAAGCATGACACCTCCCCGGGGTACCTCATTTTGGGCCGTGCAAAAGCGACGGCCAGTTTTTCTCCCTGGTGTATTTTCCCACACACACCTCCGCAGCAAATTCCAGCCCGGACAGGATGTGTTGAAACCTCAACTCTCCCCGTTGCATTAGGCAGAAGAACTCGATGTTTGCATCCACGCCAAACCTAGCTAATGGCGTATTTGAGGCCCTGTGCCATCGGTTTCACTAACAAAAAGAGCATCTGTTGTTTTGCTTAAGAAGAGACCTGCGTTCTTCTGCAAGAGAGGTCTTTAAGGTTCAAAACATCCTCAGGGGGTCTTTAAGGGCCAGCCATGCCTCCGGTTTGAAATGCACCCCCCTAAAATTGATCTATTAATCGATTGCGCTGGTTTTGTTTCCGTGACATTCTTTAAGCGGCCCCCAAAAGATGGCAAAGGCTGCAATGCTAACCCCGCTTACCTGGGAATAGATTTGATGCTCTAGATCATGGGTAGGCAAATTAAGGCCCAGGGCCCGGATCTGGCCCAATCACCTTCTAAATCCGGCCCACGGACGTACGGGGAGTCAGCGTGTTTTTACATGAGTATAATGTACATTATAAATAAGGGACGCGGGTGGCGCTGTGGGTAAAAGCCTCAGCGCCTAGGGCTTGCCGATCGAAAGGTCGGCAGTTCGAATCCCCGTGGCGGGGTGCGCTCCCGTTGCTCGATCCCAGCGCCTGCCAACCTAGCAGTTCGAAAGCACCCCTGGGTGCAAGTAGATAAATAGGGACCGCTTTCTAGCGGGAAGGTAAACGGCGTTTCCGTGTGCGGCTCTGGCTCGCCAGAGCAGCGATGTCACGCTGGCCACGTGACCTGGAAGTGTCTCCGGACAGCGCTGGCCCCCGGCCTCTTGAGTGAGATGGGCGCACAACCCCAGAGTCTGGCAAGACTGGCCCGTACGGGCAGGGGTACCTTTACCTTTAATGTACATAATGTACATTTTTACATCCTGTATACCTGAAAGAGCGTCTCCACCCCCATCCTTCAGCCTGGACACTGAGATCCAGTGCTGAGGGCCTTCTGGCAGATCCCTCCCTGTGAGAAGTGAGGTTACAGGGAACCAGACAGAGGGCCTTCTCGGTGGTGGCGCCTGCCCTGTGGAACGCCCTCCCACCAGATGTGAAGGAAATAAACAACTACCTGACATTTAGAAGACATCTGAAGGCAGCCCTGTTTAGGGAAGTTTTTAATACTTGATGCTGTATTGTTTTTAACACTTCACTGGAAGCCGCCCAGAATGGCTGGGGAAACTCAGCCAGATGGGCGGGGTATAAATAATAAATTAGTAGTAGTAGTAGTAGTAGTAGTATGTGTCCTTTTATTTAAAATGCATCTCTGGGTTATTTGTGGGGCATAGGAATTCATTCATCCCCCCCCCATATAGTCCGGCCCACCATAAGGTCTGAGGGACAGTGGACCGACCCCCTGCTGAAAAAGTTTGCTGACCCCTGCTCTAGATGCCCCCCCCCCAAAGGAAATGAAGGTGATGGTGAAATGCAGTGGGAAAAGTATGGAATAAAAACCATTTGGCATGATGTTGTACTATGTCCGTACAAGCAAAAAGGGATGAATGCTCAATAAACACCGTTTTACGTCCACACAAACTTTGTGAAGACAAATCAGGAGGGGTGCTTCAGTGAATGGGCTGTCTAGGATGCCTGATGTTGTCCACTTTTTGCATTGTGTTTCCTGTGCTGTCCTGCCCTGTCTTTTCAGACCTGATCTGTGTGCATAGCTGTCAAATTACAGATTTGAAAATAAGGGGCCAGCAGCCTCCAAAAAAAAGGTATCAGCAGCCAAAATAAGGGATTTTCTGGGCACAGGTATGTTCAACTTCTGAGGCCCTCTGAGCCAAAGGCAGAAAGCCCAGCCAGCAGCCAAACGGAGCCTCAAGCGGTGGTTCCCACAGTGCAGCAACCCGGCAAAGGGGATGCAGCAAGGAAAATTAGCATCACCTCTCCACTGGGAAGCGCTGAGCAAAAGCGAGTCCCCAGGCAACGCAGCTGATTTGATTGGCACAAGGCCTGCAAGCTCCACCCCCCAGTCGTTCTTAGACTCCTTATTGGGTGAGCAACGCAGCCAAGCAACACAGTTGGAGCCTCCCTCCTCCCTGGCCAGCAGGGAGGGAGGGAGAGGAGCTGCTTCCTTTGAAATTTAAGGGACATCATTTAAGGGACATCATCAGTAAGGGACAGCAGCGGGACATGGCGCTGGAATAAGGGAGTTTCCCGCCAAATGAGGGACAGTTGACAGCTATGTCTGTGTGATGGTTTCTCCTCAACCCCCCCCCAAAAAAATACCCCACAACTGCAGCGAAAGCCTGTTGAGTGAGAACAGGCACAGCAGTATTCCCCCCTTTTTATCCACATACACATTGCAGAGCTTTGCAGCAGTAGAGGGCTACAGGAAGGAATCACAGAACTGGAGAGTCAGAAGGGACACTAAGGGTCATCTAGTCCAACCCCCTGATCCTAATGGTTCCACTTAAAAGGGGGGCTACACACGAGGCTTCCCAAACACTCACTGCAAGGGGTGCCATTTTGTGAGGGCTCCAAGAAGCTTCGGCCTGAATCCTAGGGATGCTTCAGAGAACTGCAGTCCCATGGGGTTCTTCGGATGGCAGCCAATACAGTTAAATTGGTTTAAATGTGTAGTGAAGATATTCTCCCAAAGACCCAGAGATGGTACTTCTCTAGTTATGTAAAGGTGAAGGACCCCATGACAGTTAAGTCCAGTCATATGGCGACTATAGAATATTTGTGTGAGATTGTATGGGGAAAATACGGAATAACAAATACAATATTGCTTAAAATGTATATAGGAAGTGTAGTGTAAGTGATGGAAGTCAATCAATGAAATTTTATTATTGAGATATTTGTAGAATAAATTTGGAAGAAATTCTTCCATCTTTTCTTCTTCTTCTCCTCCTCTTTATTTTTGCTTTTTCTTTTTCTTTCTTCTTTTCTTCCTTTTTTCTCTTTTGTTCTTTTTTTATAGATATGTGCTTATCTGAAATATATATGTATGTATTTGCAATATTTTGCTTATATTTTTGTAATAATTATGTTAAATAAATTATATTTTTTTAAAAAAAGTCCAGTCAAAGGCGACTATGGGGTTGCGGCTCTCATCTCGCTTTCAGGCTGAGGGAGCTGGCATTTGTCCACAAACAGCTTTCCAGGTCATGTGGCCAGCAGGACAAAACCGCTTCCAGCACAATAGGACGCCATGACGGAAACCAGAGCGCACAGAAACACTGTTTACCTTCCCACTGCAGCAATACCTATTTATCTACTTGCACTGGTGTGCTTTTGAACTGCTAGGTTGGCAGGAGCTGGGACAGAGCAACAGGAGCTCACCCTGTCGTGGGGATTCGAACCGCCGACCTTCTGATTGGCAAACCCAAGAGGCTCAGTGGTTTGGACCACAGCACCACCCGCGTCCCTCCTAGTTATAAGATACCCACTGAGACACCAACTCTTCTCCATGCAGGTGAATGTGTCCTGGATTTCACCCTTAGATGCCACCACAACACCTTCGTTTGGGTTTCCCAAATAGCTGAGATTTTATTCTTTCTCTTTTTTTGCAAAAAAAAAAAAAAAAAGCGTCAGTCACATTTTCAGTCTACTGAATTGTCCAGGGCTTTAGGGCACATTTCCATCCCTCCTGCCACCCTACTGCTCTTGCCAACTTTGTTTCTTCATTGCCTTTTAAGCAGCTGCACAACCCACAGGAATTTAGAAGGCGGCCTTTTTCTCCACCTGCATGCCAGGAGGAGAATCTCCTCGTGCTAAATCCCTGCCAGTCGTGAAGATGCGAAGGGCACAGGAGCAGGGCCAGTAGACATAAGATGGCAACCCAGAACCTCCTCCGCCCGGCTTAGTCTAAAACTCAGTTATGCAAAATGACCAGCTATCCGTCTTACATGGGGGGGGGCTCTCCTTGCCACGCCTGTACAACCCTCCCCCACTATATTTGTTAATGCTAATAATAATAAATTTATTTAACCTCGCTATAGGCCACCTTCCAAGCAGCATACAATATTGAAAAAACCAACAGCAACACAGTAGGATCATAAAACCACGAGACGAAAAGACATCGACGACAGCAAAATAGAATGAAACTACTGATTCATTTAAATGCCTGATGAAATGGGTCTTGCTGACTTTGTGGAGTTTTAGGCGGACGCAGAGGGAGTGTGTTATGCAGAAGGCAGCCAGGGGTGGACTCTTTCTCGTGTCAAAGAGTCAGGTCCAATTTCTTGGAGCCACTGCAGTATGAAGAAGAAGAAGAAGAAGAAGAAGAAGAGGAGGAGGAGGAGGAGGAGGAGGAGGAGGAGGAGGAGTTTGGATTTGATATCCCGCTTTATCACTATCCGAAGGAGTCTCAAAGTGGCTAACATTCTCCTTTCCCTTCCTGCCCCACAACAAACACTCTGTGAAGTGAGTGGGGCTGAGAGACTTCAAAGAAGTGTGACTGGCCCAAGGTCACCCAGCAGCTGCATGTGGAGGAGCGGGGAAGCAAACCCGGTTCCCCAGATTGCAAGACTACTGCTCTTAACCACTACACCTGATTCGGGGAGGGGTGTTCCTTCAGGCCCACAAAGGGCTTTGTAGGTTAAAAACCAGCACCTTCGCTCGGGCTTGGGAGGCGGACCAATCTGCAAAGAGACAGCCAGCAGCATCCTGCGCCAGCGTCGGTTCCCAAATTACCTTCAAGGGCAGCCCCACGTAAAGTGCATCACAGTAGTCAAGCCTGGAGGTTATGGGAGGAAAGCATGGGTGAGCATGGGAAGGTTTTGCCCAGAAAGGCAGGCAGCATCTAGACATTGGGTTTAAATGAGAGAAAACACAAGCAGCCAGGGCAGAAAGCGTGGGGCTCATTTTATCCTCATGACAACCCTGCGAGGTGCGTCAGGATGAGAGGCCAAAGCTTGCTCAAGGATACTGAGAGTGGGGTCTAACTAAATGGTTGTCTGTATGAGGGTTGCCGCTGGCTGGGACTGGCCTGGAGTAAGTGGGGCTCACAGGAAGCTGGTCTGAGGTTGCTCTTGCATCTATAATATTAATAACAATAATATAGCCATCTGCTGGGAAGTTAGTATAGCAGCTCTGCCTCACCCGGTGAGCCCTTTCTAGGAAACAAGGAAGGGGGCAGCTGTGGTCTGACCAAACGGTAGACGAAATGATGAAACCATTTCTGGACTGTATGGCTTCGAGCTGCAGATGTTTGGTTGGGCGGGTGCAATGCTGAATGTTCACCTAAATAAAAGATTTCCCATGTATTGAAAACTAGATGCCAGAGTTTCTTTCTAGGACCATAGAGTCCCAAGTTCAAGCTTTGACATCTCCAAGTAGGCTTGGGGAAAGCTCTCGACCTGAAATCCCTTGGTGGATCTACACACGTCGTTTATAACATTAAAATGTGTTATTAAAATTTGTCCCCCAGAGGGCGCTGCAGAGCAGAGAGCCATCAGCAATGGGAAACTGCTATTCAGCATTACAGAACATTATTTTTTAAAAAAAGGTTTAGCAGATCAATGTAGATCCAGCCCCAGTAAAACTTGTTGATACTGGGTTAGATAGACCAGTGGTCTGACTCTGTATACAGCAGCTCTGTAGGTTTCGTTGGTTGTGGAAGAGTAATGTTTTAGCATTCGGACTTGTGACACGCACACCCCGCCAATGCAAACTGAAGTGGTGCAGTCTAGAAAGAATTTTTCCACATGATACACTGCTTGTATTCAGTGGGTCTAAACCCAGTCCTTCGTCCATTACGCTACATTGCCTCTCACTACACACCTTGTGTAGGATTCCCTATTCACACAACTCAGTGTCTATTGTGCCGCTGTCAGATTAGACAACACGCTTAATATAGTACCTAGCTTCCAAAACAACAAGTGTTGGGGAAAGGAAAAAGTGATGTGTCCATCACTTTTCGAACCACTTCTTGCAGATGCAGGTTGAAAATACACTTCCGGCGTCTCACAGGTCGAGAACCAAACCCTTCTCCCTGCAACATGGAACTTTTCCCAACCAACACAGACAGATAAGTAATACTTTGCAGATGAGCGAAGGCAGAAATGTCAACGCCTATGACACGATGCGTTTCGCTTTCATCGCTAACTGGTCTCTGGCCCGCAAGCGGCAATTGACGGTGGTGTTCGAGGTTGTCTGGTTCTCGCCCGGCCCCGGCGTTTTGGGGCAAGCAAATTTCACAAACTTCTGCCCTGCTAAAAAGTACAAGATGGGGTCCAGGCAGCTGTTGGTGCTAGCCAGGGGCCGGGTGAGTTTGTATGCCAAGTTGATGGCGTCGAGAGTGGCGCAGCTGAGGTCCCAGTCGCGGAAGTAATAGTATAAGGTCCGAGTGATGTGGAAGGGCAAGAAGCAGATGATGAAGACCGCCAGGACAACGGCGATCATCTTGACCGACTTCTTCTTGGAGCTGGACATTCGGGTGGTGCCACGAGTCGGCTGGAGCAACCGGCGAGCCATCAGGGAGTAGCAGACGATGATGACCAGGAAGGGGATGCAGAAGAGAAGGACCAGCATCACGGTGCTGTAGATGATGAAGTCCCCGAAGAGGTCCTTCGCCGACGTGTCGTGGCAGGTGATCTTGTCGCACCGGGGGCTGGTGGTGACGAAGTAGAGCACGGGTGACTGGCAGGCGATGACGACCGCCCAGACGGTGGCCGAGACCCAGCGGGCGTAGCGGACTTGTCCCCACTCCAGGGACTTCAACGGGAAGCAGATGCCCATGAAACGATGGATGCTGATGCAGAGCAAGAAGAGGATGCTGCAGTAGAGGTTGGTGTAGAAGAGGAAGCGGACGATCTTGCACAAGCCCACGCTGAAGGGCCAGTGGTTCCTCTTGGCGTAGTAGTAGACCAGGAGCGGCAGCGAGATCACGTACAAGGTGTCCGACACAGCCAGGTTGAACATGTAGGTGGTGGAGGCATTCCAAGTCTTGATGCGGAAGAGGAAGATGTAAAGGGCCAGCAGGTTGAGACACAGGCCCACCACGAAGACGAGGCTGTAGGAGATGGGCAGGAGGATGTACTTGAACTCCTCATTGAAGGTGCACCTGTAGGGGTCTTCCTCCTCGCAGTCGGCGTCGGAAGTGTTGGCGCTCGTGTTCAAGGAGCGCAGCAGGAGCAGCAGGGACGCATTCGCCATAGCCCTGGGGGGAACCAAAAGAGGGAAGGTTAGAAAGGAGCGGCATTGGCGGTTGAGGGTGTGCCAGTCATGGATGGACTCCTATTATTATTCCAAACTTAAAAATGGAAAGCGTAATGCTGGTGGTCAACAAAAGAGGTTTAAAGACTCTCTCAAGGCAAATCTTTAAAAATGTAGTATAAGCACCGACAACTGGGAAACACTGGCCTGCGAGCGCTCCAGTTGGAGAACAGCCTTTACTTAAGGTGTTATGGGCTTTGAAGACACTCAAACTCAGGACGCAAGGGAGAAACGTGCTAAGAGGAAGGCACGCTTGGCAAATCCACACCGTGATCAACTCCTGCCCGGAAACCAATGTCCCCACTGTGGAAGGACGTGTGGATCCAGAATTGGCCTCCACAGTCACTTATGGACTCACTGTTAAGATTGTGTTCATGGAAGACAATCTTACTCGGCTACGAGTGATCACCAAGGAAGATGATGATGATGATTAAAATAAGGAGCACAGGATGGTTTACAGTGGTACCTTGGGTTACATACGCTTCGGGTTACATACGCTTCAGGTTACAGACTCCGCTAACCCAGAAATAGTACTTCGGGTTAAGAACTTTGCTTCAGGATGAGAACAGAAATCGTGCGGCAGCAGCGGGAGGCCCCATTAGCTAAAGTGGTGCTTCAGGTTAAGAACAGTTTCAGGTTAAGAACGGACCTCCGGAACGAATTAAGTTCTTAACTCGAGGTACCACTGTACAATATAAAAACGCAAAGATACATAATTACAAGCCAAACAATGAACCCACCCCACAGTTTATTGTTGATTGTTTAGTCAGCCATATTTCAAAGAAAGTCTATAAGCGCTACACAACATCCTAAAAAATACCACAAATAAAGATCAAATACAAAAAAGCCGTAAAAGAACAGCACGGATGATTGCTTGACAATATTTCTACACCACTTTTCATTCAAATGAATCCTGAAGCGGCTTACAAACAATAAATAACAAGAGCCTGGTAGGGCCTAACAGAACGTCACAAACACGGCATAAATCATATGGAACAATCAACAAGCCATCCTTGAAACAATAGCAATCTATAGAACACTGTTCACGAAGAAACTGAGCAAATAAGCTAAACAGCACAATTAAAGGAAATGTCTGAATAGATGATTACCAAATGCAGCGTTTATATCTTGCGAAAAAATATTAGCAACATGAACAAAATAGCCGCCAAAAGATAACCATAGCACTGTTAGATTCATGTACTTACTGTCCATGTCCCTGTGGCGTGTAATCTTTCACTCTATTTAGCTCATTAAAATACACATACTAGGGTTGCCATCAGGGTCGTATATTAGGTTTGATGAGGCCCTAAGCTACTGGAGGTAATGGGGCCCTTTATATGTCCAGCTGTCCACTTCCTGGTCACGGACCGTATTAAAGATATTTGATTTGTCCAGCTGTCCTTAGTCAACCACAAATTGTCGCTCTTTTTTGTGTTGAATATATGCCATATGGTAATTTATGGACCTAATAGGTATCTAAAGCCATTTTCACATAACAAAATATGTATTTTGTTAAGTTGTGGGTGAACACATCAGACGACACAGCGATTCTTCAAACAGCTCTTGTTTATTCACAGGCCAGAACAGAACTGAACTGAAGGGTTCAGTCAGCCTGCTTATATAGAGCTCTGGTACAACGCAACTGCAACAACTTTCTGTAGCTATCCAAACACTGAACGTCACTTTCAATCCCTTATTTGCATATGTGGACCTGAGTGAAAACTATCTACAGTATCCCCCTGCTGGCCCAGGGTGAGAACTTCAATACATAACATATTTTATCAAAGTAATTGTTACATGAAATCAGTCAGTGGGCATAAGACTCATACCCTTAGTCTCTGCTGTCTGATCATCAGTCTACAAGCACTCTTTAATATTAGATAACAGGTGCAACCAGATCCTGAAGCTGAGGCTCCAATACTTTGGCCACCTCATGAGAAGAGAAGACTCCCTGGAAAAGGCCCTGATGTTGGGAAAGATGGAGGGCACAAGGAGAAGGGGACGACAGAGGACGAGATGGTTGGATAGTGTTCTCTAAGCCAGTGTTTCCCAACCGGTGTTCCGCGGCACACTAGTGTGCCGCGAGACGTTGCCTAGTGTGCCGTGGGAGGGAGGCGGGCGAGTCGGGCGGCGAGAGGCGGGGCGGCGGCGGCGAGCACACGCGGGGCGGCGAGCGAGCTCCCTCCCACATCCCATCGCCGCTCGCTTCGGCCGGCCTACTGGGCTGTCGCAGGCGGAAGGGCTGCGCATGCGCGAGGTTTTCGCGCCTTCGGGATTCCCTTCACGCCTTCCTCCTCCCGGGTCCTTGAGAGCGCGGGAAGCGGCAGCGCGAGACCAGCGTTGAGCCTGGTAGGTATTGCGCTTGCCATCGGATGTACCGTAAACCTCGCAGTATGAAGCTGCGAGCGGTAGGCAGCGAGGCGAGATCGCGACCTCTATAAAGAAAATTTCACCTTTTCGCCCAAGTTCGCTTTAGAGGCAAGGCTGGGACTTGTGAAGAGATGCTTGGTGGGAAACAAGTGTGTGCTTTTGTGTGTGTGTGTGAATGTGAGTGTGTTTGAGAGAGAGAACCCACCGGGAAAATAAGAGTATGGAAAAGGGACAGCCAAAGGAGGCTGGGGAAGGAGGCTGCGAGAAAGAGTGAGAGTGTTTAACTGTTTCTTAAACAGGAGAGAGAGGTTTGTTTTTGTTTTCTTGTTGTCCCGCACTTTCCACAGGGCTAGAAAGGTTAGCCACGCTCCAACCCCGGTACTCTCCCTGCAACAAGCGAAAGCAAGGTTTTAAAACGAAACCAGAGTTTATGGGGTGGGAGGGGGAGAGGAAGAAAGAGAAAAGAGAGAGAAAAGGAGGAGGAGAATTGGAGGAGCACTGGAGAAAGATATTAGCCAATTAGCAAAAAATTCCTTTCTCTCCCCCCTTTCTTTCTCCCCCCAATATTTTTTTAGTCTCTGCTGTTTTGGGGGGCGGGGGGGGGGAGAGAGGCACCTTGCATTTTACTCCTCTAGACTCAGATGCAGCAGCGAAGGAAGAGCAGGGGGCGGCGGAGAAGGGAAGGTAGGGTGTGGGGAACGCGTTCAAAGATTAACCCCTTCCAGGAATCTTTGGTAATATCGCCCCCCCCTTCCCACTGGCTACAGAAGAGGCAAAGTATATTTCTGGGTGGGCGAGTTTTGTCACAGGTGTAAAGAGCTCCGAAGGAAAAATAGCAGTGGATGTTAATTATATAAGTCCAACAATGTGTTGGGGTGAGCAAGCGTGTGTGGGGGGGGGGAGGTGAGGGTTTGTGTTTATTTGATTCCTATTAAAGAGAGTTACTTTATATATAGCCAATATAGGCACAGAGTTAATTTTTTAAACATTTTCTAATGGTGGTGTGCCTCGAGATTTTTTTCATGAAACAAGTGTGCCTTTGCCCAAAAAAGGTTGGGAAACACTGCTCTAAGCTACCAGCATGAGTTTGACCAAAACTGCGGGAGGCAGTGGAAGACAGGAGTGCTCTGGTCCATGGGGTCATGAAGAGTCGGACACAACTAAATGGCTAAACAACAACAACAAATCATTGGATATGCTGTTGCTGAAACTTGCCCAGGGAAGATAGCTAAGAAAATGAATGAATGAATGAATGATTTCACATCTGCGTAACTCTACCATTTTCTTTGTGTGGAGCGACAACAGGTTCAACAGCTTGACCTACATTCAACTGTGCTACACTGAAATCTGCAGCTAATTGCTACATATTGCTGTGCAACCAGTCCATGCAGAATGTAGGCACCCTATATATAGAAATGAGCAAACCAGTGATATTTGAGGGAGCAGGCTAGCAGGCGGGGCCCATGACTAACATCATAGGAGCCTACACAATACAAAACACTGTTGCTGCATGTAAGTTTTATTTTATTTGTTTTTATCTTATATTTTGGAAATGTACATCCAGGTTTTATTTCTCCTTTAAATTTTTTTTTTGGGGGGGCAAGAGAGTGGGGCCCTAAGCTATAGCTTGTTTAGCTTATATGGAAAGCCGGCACTGGTTGCCATAATTCAAACTGTGAAAATGCGGACAGAAAAGTTGTGGAGCTTTTTTGGGTGGCAGATTTGCCAAATGAATGAATGAAGCTGTAGACCCAGCAACATAAAAAGAGGTTTGTGACGATTTAGCATCCAAGAGCGTCAAAGCGAGAGGAATAGGAACCCAGGTGTGGTTGAAGCAAATGCTGTAAGCAGAAATCAAAGGCTTTGGGATGGGGAAGAAATTTGATTCCCTTTGCATTCATACTCCTTGAACCAGAACACGAATGGAAGCGCAGCTCTCTTTCAAAACTCTGGAACTTCTGCTGAAGTTCTCCAGCCATACAATGTGAACAAAAACACATGCGTTGTTGTTTAGTCGTTTAGTTGTGTCCGACTCTTCGTGACCCCCTGGACCAGAGCACGCCAGGCACTCCTGTCTTCCACTGCCTCCCGCAGTTTGGCCAAACTCATGCTGGTAGCTTTGAGAACACTGTCCAACCATCTCCTCCTCTGTCGTCCCCTTCTCCTTCTTCTTTCCCAACACCAGGGTCTTTTCCAGGGAGTCTTCTCTTCTCATGAGGTGGCCAAAGTATTGGAGCCTCAGCTTCAGGATCTGTCCTTCCAGTGAGCACTCAGGGCTGATTTCCTTAAGAATGGAGAGGTTTGATCTTCTTGCAGTCCATGGGACTCTCAAGAGTCTCCTCCAGCACCATAATTCAAAAGCATCAATTGGGAACCGCATCCATCGAAAAGCATAAGTTTGTGAAAACGACATACAAAGATGCATTGCGTTAGGCGAAATGGTTTTGCCAAAATGTGTCTTTGTTAGAAGGAAATTCAAAGTAAAACGCTAACAGGTTTTCACGTGGATTTTTAAAAGCAAATTGCATGGTGCAATGTTGCAGGAATGTGGAGATTCCCAGTGTGATCAGTGTAGCTCTCTTACTGTTTAG